ATAGATAGATAGATAGATAGATAGATAGATAGATAGATAGATAGATATGGTTATATGGATGTATATATGGATACATATTTAACACTATTCATCCCCAGCTGAAAAATTAAATATGTTATTCTAGTTACCCTATCATTCAATTAAATAACCCATTTTCTACTTATTTTTTCACTTTTTTAAGCATTTGGATTTTGCAAAGAAGTAATTTTATTGTACCTAAATGCTTGTTTTCTTCACCCTGTGTTACAAGGTAGAGATTTTTTGTTGCCAGATTTAATATTAAAGAAACTAAAATGATTCAACTGACCTTTTACTGAACAGTTATGCACATTTCACTGGGTGTTTTGGTGACATGGCCAGAGATTCTGAGCCTTTTGCTCTTCGTTGTTCATTATTTCTGATAGACAAAAGCAGTACTGTGTTGCTGCAACTCCCACCACAGTCATTCCTTTATTTCCAGAAAGGAAAATGGGTCATGTTCTCAGAAGCTGTCTGGAAAAATGTTCTGACTTGCAATTTATAGCTAAGTTGTTTCTGCATTGGTAGCCAAATTTAAAGTTTACAGAATGCTGGGGTTTGTTTATCTAGCAAGTTTGCCTAAGTTCTTTTTTTTTATCTTTAGATCTGAAAGAAAGTTAAGAGGTATGAGCTAAAAAAAATCCCTACCTACATCACATATTTTATCTCTCTCCTGCTTTTCTTTATTGATTTTGTGAATAACTAAAGGGTTTTGTAATTTGTTTATTCAATTTATATGCCACGCATCTCATGGTTCAAGGCGACTCTGAGCAGCTTACAATGTAATAAAACATACAGATGCAACAATTGTAAGAACAGATTGAAATTACAAAAAATTAAAAGAAACTAAAACCTAAAACTAAAAACCATGGGGAGTGGTGGTATCTTCTCTGTTTCTGCACCCTCCCCAACCAACAGCTCCTCCTTCAGGGCCCCATGTCAACTGGCACAGCCTGGTTTTAAGGCTTTTCCAGAAGGCCAAAAGAGAGGAGACGAATCTCATCTCCTGCAGCAAGATGTCCCAAAGGGTGGAGGCCATGTCAGAAAAGGCTCTTCTGGACCTCACCAGGCCAATTCCTTGGCTGATGGGTTCTGCAGTAGGCCCCTTCTGCCAGCATGAGTGAGGCAGGACAATCCCATTGGTTTCTCAGATATTCAATTCAATTAATAAAAAGATGGTAGAGGGCAACTTCATTGGAAGAGGAAAGGTTTGCTGATGCTACTTCCGTTTGTAGAATTTGCTCCCGAGTTTTAGGCAATCTGTGGAATAACTCCAAATTGTGGAGACTGCAGGAAAAAACAAAATGTTCCTCCTGTCAGACCTGCCCAAATCAGAGCCCTTAGGAAAGAAAGACCCTCAACTCCATTTGGTTGAAGCGATAGGTTCTTTTATTAAAGGTTGCTGACTGCAGTAAAATCAGGTTAGAATTAACCTGTGCAAAAGGTTACAAACTTTTCCCCTTCATCCCGGCTCTCCCTCTTTGACCAATCTGTCTTCAGCCAATGGATGTTTTGAGAACCTGTCAGGAAGTTGGGAACAATCCACGTTCCATTCTCAAGCTTCATGACCTTGAAGACTGACACAGGCTGGTTTCTTGCATCCCTGGTATCTGTCAAGCTGTCATCTCCCCTCCCTTTTTCCTACCTATGGCCCATATATGTTTATTTCCCACTTCCTGCCCTCCCCAGAAGCTGATGGCAGGATGCCAGTGGGGCACAAAGCCGAAGATGGCAGAGCTGACATCTCCCTTACTTCCGGAAAAGCTTTGACTAGATCAGATACACTTCTGCTACAGGAAAAAGTTGCATGTGTGAAGAGTACTTTAAAAAAAATACTCTCTTTTTTTTAATTTGGAAAAAAAGAGAGTGTTATCTTCAGCAAATAAAACTTCCCCAAACACTGAAAAAAGCAAGTTTATTCTCTGTTTTGGTTGGACCTGAAAGATTATTAAAATCAAGACAAAATTCAGAGAACCATCTGGTTCCTGTGCTTCCCAGACGAGCTTGGAGGTGTGTTTTGAGTTTCATTGGGCACGAATCGTCAGTCATTACTGCTTCAAGAAAAATAAAAGGGCCATGTTAAAATTTATAGAGGTTAAAGGATTTTGACAATTCTCATTCTACAGCAAGGATGGGTAGATAACCCACATATTTTACCTTCCCAGAATCACAAGATCAGGCAGTCAGCTTTTTCTGGCAAAATGGTCAAATTTCAATAAGATTTTTGTTTGTTTATTTGTTTGTTTAGCATATTCCCTGCTTTTTTTCAGCTTAATTAGAATGCTGATAAGCCATCAGTAGGATTCTGTTCTCTTTTGAGCAATGTAAGCTGAATGTTCTGTACCAAAAACAGATGGATCAACTCAGGAATACAAAGCCAGGCATAATGTCGACTACTTCAACGGCAAAATTAGAATCCTTATTTATATTGATCCAGTACAAGTAGTCCTCGACTTAAGGACCACCACTGAACCCAAAATTTTCATTTGCTAAGCGAGACATTTGTTAAATGAGTTTAGCCTCATTTTACGATCTTTATTTCCACAGTTGTTAAAGCGAATCACTGCAGTTAAGTGAAACAGTTAAGCGAATCTGGCTTCCACCATTGACTTTGCTTGTCAGAAGCCAGTTGGGAAGCTTACAAATGGTGATGATATGACCATGGGACAGTGCAATTGTCATAAATACACGCTGATTGCCAACCACCCAAATTTTTATCACATTTTATTGCATGTTCCAACTGTCATAAATGTGAACAAGTCATTTTTTTCAGTTTCCATTGTACCTTCAAATGGTCATTAAACAAAAGGTTGCAAGCCAAGAACTGATATCTTGGTATGTTCATTGTTTAACAGCTGAGCCATCATTTTTTATATCAATGGAAGCTTTTGAACTTTGTTATTATTAGCATCAATAGCTCTCTGAAAAGATATCCACTATGTTATTTGGACCATAAGGTGTTTTGGGAACAGGAAATGCGAAGTCCTAGTGTATCTCTTTTTTCTTCTCTTTATTTTTTCTCAAATGAATGATATATCTCTCATAACACCTTGCCGCATGTTTTTAACATTTAATGTGGGAGTATGGCTCAACATTGTGTTGAATGTATTACAGTAGAGATCTTTATTTTCTAACTTTATTATTTTTACCAAAAAAAAATTGAGGCTGGGAACATACCTAATACTCCTTCCTCCTCTTATTTTCCTTGCAATAACAACCCCATGAAGTGGGTTGAGTGGAGGTAGACTGGTCCAAGGTCACCCAGCTGGCTTATTTTTATAATCTTTATAACTTGTTAACAGTTACTTTGTATGTTTGCAGTGCGGGATGCAAGAAATCTAATCCCTATGGATCCCAATGGACTCTCAGACCCGTATGTTAAACTGAAACTTATTCCAGATCCTAAGAACGAAAGTAAACAGAAAACAAAAACCATCCGCTCGACGCTCAATCCACACTGGAATGAGTCCTTCACATTGTAAGTGGCAGGCGGATACTTTGCTTAATCATATTTCAATCACATTTTGTTGCACAAATGCCTAAATGCTGTAAATTGCTTTTCTGTTCGTAGTAAATTAAAGCCCACAGACAAAGACAGAAGATTATCAGTGGAAGTCTGGGACTGGGATCGAACCACTAGGAACGATTTCATGGGATCCCTCTCTTTCGGAGTGTCAGAACTGAAGAAGTCGCCAGCTTGTGGATGGTAAGACCCCTTTGTAACAATGGACTGTTTCATTGGTCCATCGTTGACATGTTAACCATACATTCTATTCAATTGTTGAAATGCTTTCTCACTGTGTCAGTTAGATAGTTGCAAAATATGTAATTATTAGTGTGGAAAGCAGAAAAGTTGCTGAGTTTCAAAATAATACTTCAGTCAGTAACTTGCTTTGATGTAGAAACAGCATCTTTTTAGTTTTTTTTCAGTTGGTTCCCCAAAGGGAAGAATCCAAGGCAATAGTACAACCCCTGTTTTTTCTGGAAGGCAAGATGAAGCAGCCTTCAAATCAGCTGCCTACTTAGCATCCTCTATGCTAATTTCTTACTGCAGGCAAATGCTGCACCCTTTAAGATTATTTACCATCATTTATGAAGGAGAGCCTGTTGGGCCTCAGTAAATTTAGAATACTAGGACTGTACAGCACAGCTTCCTATTTCTGGTCTTTTCTTCTAGAAAAAAAAAATGACCTGCATTCAAATAGTAAGAACAAAAATGCAGAAAACAATCCTTTTTATATATCTCAAATTATTTTCCTCATATTGTTCAGGTATAAATTACTTAACCAGGAAGAAGGCGAGTATTATAATGTGCCAATACCAGAAGCTGATGAAGATGGAAATACAGAACTGAGGCAGAAGTTTGAGGTGAGAATATATTACTGCAGTCAGTATAAGGTCATAGGAGTGTATAGAGTAGAGAAATATATAGGAGCCTGTTTAGGAGTCCGTTCTCGCATCTCAGAAGTTTTTCCTGTAGAAATACTAAAAATAAACACTTCAACACCTCTGGTCCCATTGGGTTAATACTATTCTTTTCTTGCCAGCAATTTGCCATGATTATATTACATTCAGTATGTTGATACCTCCCATTTAATACCAACATAAATTTCAGTACCTGTCATATTCACTGGATTTTTAAAAATATTATTGCATGGCTAAATTACAGTTAAGTAGAAAGTATGCATTCAGATTTGCAAAAAGATGTGACATGTAAAGGTTTGTGTCACTTTCTGCTCATTTATTAATTCATTTGCCCAGGAGAGCCTAAATATTCCTTTCAACTGCAGTCTCTGGAACCCAGTTAAGTGTATCGTGAACATTATTTTTCAATCAATTGGACAACTTTGACTTTAGTTTACTTTGGGGTATGTGTACAAAACAAGTAAATACCTGGTCACTACACTTGTTTGTGATTTAAATTAATGCCCTTACTAATGTTTAATTAATCTGATCTACTATACCAGTTTTAAACTCATGGCACTCTCATTCTAGCATTGTTTCACACCTCAGAGTTGCCGAGTTGTGGGAGACATTTCACTGCACATTTGTACCTGGAATGGAAGCATGTAAACAAAGAGGTGTAAAACTCAAATTTTTCTCTGCAGCCCCCAACCTGCTCTGTCTGTTTGCCAATACAATCAGCGTTGCCAGATGCGCCGATAGAGATAGTCCTCTTCTTATGACCACCATTGGGATCCGAATTTCTCTTGCTAATTAATCAAGGTGTCTGTTAAGCGAGTTGCACTTGATTTTATGACCTTCTGCCATGGTTGCTAAATAGATCGAGGCAGTTGTTAAGGGAATCACATGGCCTGTAAGCAGATCCTGCTTCCTCCCATTAACTTTGCTTGTCTGAAGCCAACTGGGAAGGCTGCAAATTGTGATCGCATGACCCATGGGATGCTGCAACTGTCATAAACATAAGCCAGTTGCCCTGCCCCTGAATTTTGATCATGCGGCAATGGTTGTAAATATTTTTTTCAGTGGCATTGTAACTTTGAACAGTCACTAAATGAATAGTTGTAGGTTGAGGACTACCCCCATTACCTTCTCGGTTTCACAGAAGGTTCTGCAAAGGTCACAGGAAATGCACAGAGTTTCTCTCTGTAAGCAACCTCCTTGGAGCAACAGGCCCTGGGGCAGCACTGGTCCCTTCCAAGCTCTTTCTCCATTCTGATTGCTGGCTCCTATCTCAAACTGGGTATGCCTGGTAAAGCACCAATGTTTCAAGTGAGAAACCAGAAGCCAACAGAGAAACCTAAAACTGCATAGAAAAGCAAATTTGGGGGTTCCTGAACATGTTGAACCTTTTTTTTTTATAACACTTAGCTTCTTGTTCAAATACAATTACTTTGTTTTAGAGTAGTTTATACATGACAATTTTTAGTGCAGATCTCATCAGGGAAAAATACATCCTAGCAGGTCAACTAACTCAAGCACAATACTCGAAGAGAAATCGATGCAACTCATAGTTATGAGCTGCAGTTTGAATTAAAAAATAAACATTGCTATTAAATAACAATGCTGAAAACAATTTTTCCTAAATTACAAAAATAATCTATGTCAAGTTGGAAAAAATATGCACATTGCACAGTAGAGTCTCCTGACCTCCTAATATTGAATGAATATGTGCTTAATGACTGCTTATTTTAAAGTTTAAACACACTATTACTTGGGAATATTGTCAACCTTAGAAGAATATAACACTGATTGACAAATTTGAAGCTGGTGCTGATCATTTAGGGGGACAAGTGTGACTATTTTTTAAACGTGATTCCTGTCTGGATATGACAGAGGGGGCGAAATCTCTTTAGGCATATTTCAAATGTAGACAAATGCAGTGTGATTTACGAAAACTTAAATGCAAAAAGAAAACATGGAAGGTAAATATCGCAAAGGTGCTTTTTCAAGAGGCAACTGGACTTCCTAGTTTTTCTTTGAAGAAGTTTTGCTTCTCATTCTTGGATGAGAAGCGTAACATCTTCAAAGAAAAACCAGAAATGAGAAGTGAAAGGTCTTCAAAGAAAAATCAGAAAGTCCAGTTGCCTCTTGAAAAAGCACCTTTGGGACAACCATGACCTGGATGACTGAGAAGCTCCATAGACAGAAAAGGTAAATGTTAATAACAAGACACATAAGCAGAACTTCCAAGTTCACATGACCTATAGTTAAAGAAAGCTACTTTTATGTAGAAAATCTTGCATATTTTATTGGTTTATGCTTGATTTTCATGCTGCCCTTTGGCTTGTAGTGGACAATCATGGCAGTTTTTTCAAAGGGTACTTAATAACTTGATTTTGTGTTAAGGAATAAACCAAGGAATGCAAGAAGATGGAACCACTAGCAGATTTGTCTAGAGACAGATTATTCTCTATATTGTTTTTTAAATTATTATTTCCCCACTGTAGCATCGTGAACTTGCTGGAAGCTCACCATTCCTTGGCAATTATGAAAGATAAAAGAATTTGATTTGTAACCTGCAATTTTAAGGAATAGCATCTGGAATAGAAGCTGGAATAGTATGTTTGGTCCCACTCCTCTGGGCAGGGGGGTAACCAAACCAAAGTTCACTGCAAGTACTATTTTGTTCTTTTGGGTTTTTTCCCCTTTCTTTTAGCCAATTGATACATCAGGCTCACTTTTCTCTTTTGATTATATTATTTCTGGAATCTGGACTCAGAGGGTACAGCCTCCTGCCCCCTACTTCCCTTTCTGAGAGAGGCCAGGATGCACCTTCCTTGACCTGAAAATCATCCTAATACTGTAAATGAATTTTATGATATCTACAGAGTCTATACCAGTTATGTGAGACAGCACAGATTCCCTTGAGAGGTCCATATTAGATTTGCCAGAAGGAAAATCAGAGATATTATTTACAAGATTTCTAGAGAAGAGACAATAAAATATGAAGATAAAGAAATAATAGTACTGAAACAAATACCAAGAAAAGTCTGGGAACAGAGGAAGGATTATCGATTCCCCACTAATTATTTAAATAAAAAAAATATTTCTTTTAGATGGATTACCCCAGAAGGTATTCTGACATCCTGGAATGAAAAAAGAGTGAAAATTGATAACCTAATACTTTCATCTATATAATGAACATGGACTGGTATACAGGTAGTCCTCAATGTATGACCACAATTGGGAGAGGAATTTCCATTGCTACGCAAAGCAGTTGTTATGGTCATTTGCCCTTAAGAAAAGCAAACCATGTGAACACACTGCTATGTTGGATATAAAATAATAGTTCCCCCAATATTTTCTAACTTGCAGGGATGAACCTGTGAGCAAATAGCGCAGATATGAAACTTGGACAAATATACTTTTCCTGCTTATAAAGTGCGTTTCTGTAAAATGGTAAAACTGTTGCTCAGCTCATACATTTTTTCTCCCATTTGGACTTTGCAAGTCCAACTTCAGACAGGAGTGCTAATTGGCTGCTCCTTTTGGGAATTTGTTGGAAAATACAGCTCTGCTTTGCCATTCACTGAAGCACTGAGTGGTTCCTAAATTACAATCTTGAATAAAATAAATGCAGTTTTCAGAACAGGGTAATGTCATGGCATAAGTGTTATGAGAGGGATGAGCAAACATCTGTGCCAGAGGACATAAAATGTTAGCTAATGAAAGTAAACATGATCACTCAGCTGGGTAGCTCTGTGCTACAGTGGTTGTGAGAAATACAAATGATTGTATCTGCAGGCACATAGCATAATGCTATCCAACTGCACAGAAAACTGATAATTGTTTCTAAGGACATTTTCATTGTATAATACTATACTGCAATTATCCTGCAATTCCTCTTTTTACCATTTTATTTCTGTCTTCCGTCTAAAGATCTGCAAATTACTCTTGTACATACTGTAAGGTTCATTAAACTTATTGGAAATAAAGCAGTTTTTTCTCCCTTCTTCCCTCATTGCTGTTTAGAGAAGAAGGAAGGTCAGTTGGTGCCTATAATTCCCCGCTCCTCTTAACTTTTAGATGAAGCCATTGGGAGAGGATATCCATCAGTTTAAAATAAAGTAACATCAGTATCAATATGCTATTGATATCCAACTTTACCCTGCTATCCCAAACTAGGCTGGAGATGATGTTAATGTCATCTGGAGATTATTAAGACAGAAAGGCCTTCATTCTTTAAGTTTTTCACTTTGGATTGTTTGAGGGTCTCAGAAAGTCCATCGGAACATAATATCCTTCCTCTTCCTCTCAACGCAGTTTTCCTTCATGTATTTGTCTAATGATTTATTTCCTTGTTCATTCTCTCACTATATATAACCAAACTAACCCTTATCTTTTGTACATATACCCTTCTCTATTTAATATACATTCCTCCATCACAAATGAATTTTTGATTCCCTCACTTGTGCTACCACATACACTTTTTCAGGAACCCATTCCCACTTTATTCAACTTGCTTTTAGTTTTCTCCAGACACATCCAGCACTCCCTTTCAGATAACAAAGTAGGGAAAAGCAAGGTCTTATTCAGTTATTATTTCTTTCAATAAACTTTTTCATACTCCTACAAGCCCTGTGCTACCTACAATCTTTCTCCTAGCATTTTCCCATCATAACATTTCTTTTTCCAGTTTCATCTTTAACATCTTTAAGCATTCTACTAAATGTTCAGTTTCATCCACTATCTCTATGTTTTTCCGTTTGTGTAAAACCTGAAATCGTTTTCTCCATTCATTGTCAAAAGCAACTGTGTTGATCATTGGTATATAAATTTTAGTTGCATATTTTACAGCAGCATGTTAGCCATTCAACATACTTTGCAAGTCAAATTCACAGCCAAAATACAGTATAACTTGTTCATTATGTCTCCAACCAAATGTCACTAAAATCTTTTTGATA